TAACATTCTTTGAAAATTTAAACATGTCTTGACGGTACCCGGAGAATCAAGAGAAGTCAGAGTTATTGTATATACTGTGATTAGCACGACATGGAAGACGAATATCATTTTATATTGATTTGCCCGTGAGTTTTGCATAATAACGTATTATTATGTTAAACCAAGCATGTTTAAATTTATATCATTATTAAAAATGATAAAAAACAATTCTCACAAAATGAGCTATTTATATTAAATGTGCTATGACACATATTTAAGTTCATCCTCTTAGAATAGAAAATGATTTATTATGTATGTTTGAAATTTCATGTAATTTAATTAAATGTAAGTATTAATGTATGTGTAATTAAAGTATGTGTAATTGCGATTCGATACTTATAAACACTGGTTTTTTTCATGGGACTGTATTATATTGCATGCAAATGTATCAATTTTGTAAAAATGTTAACGATGATGTACCTTTGGTACAAATCTGATAAAATATATGCACTGTTCTATGTACATAAAGTATTTCGATTTCAGTTCGTAGACACATAAACAAAAAAATAAACTATTGAACTGTTAACGTTTAAACGTGTGCTCCATTTAAATCGAATCGTTACCTTATACACTTATACATGTATATTAACCATTTGTAAACGAAGAATAAATGTGTTATGAGAATACTTATGCCACAACTTCATTTTTACCTTTTGCAGAGCCATATCTCCACAGTTACGCTTATTTATATAGGTTAAGTGTAATATCAATAATAATTCATATTTAAATAGTATTATATGTAAAACGCTTCAAAAAACTATGACAAAACAATAACTGTTAACGTTTAAACGTGTGCTCCATTCAAATCGAATCGTTACCTTATACACTTATACATGTATATTAACCATTTGTAAACGAAGAATAAATGTGTTATGAGAATACTTATGCCACAACTTCATTTTTACCTTTTGCAGAGCCATATCTCCACAGTTATGCTTATTTATATAGGTTAAGTGTAATATCAATAATAATTCATATTTAAATAGTATTATATGTAAAACGCTTCAAAAAACTATGACAAAACAATGAGTTAATCTTTTTATTTTCGTGGCAAAACAATGAAAATACATGTACAACATGGCGTAAATCAGCCACTATACATAAGAGATGCCATGACCCTACTGTCCCTTTTCCCTGCGCTGTTTGGCCTTTAATTACTTCTTCAGTGTCTTAACTGATTTCAATGATTTCCTTTTTTGAATTATTTATAGTAACGTCCTCTCTGTGCTTGGCCCTTATTACCGTGCTGGGCTCGTTACCTGTGATGGTGTGTTGCTGGTTTTTGTTTGGGATTCATTCAGTTAATGTCGCCCATACTTGTTGATCTTTGTTTTCATATATATCTTTATATTGTTCACGCTACCGTTAATGCCATATAGCATAAAAGTCTTAATTGTTTTGCTCAGTAGGTACTCTTTCCTTCTAAATGTTTGTATTATGTTTAAAAGGTTTATCATGTTTAATGCAGATCTGCAGTCATCAAATTCGTTATTTAAAGGTTAGAAGTTTATTTATGTCTATACTTTATAAATACTTTTAACTTTGAATGTATTCTCAATTCCTATCCTACTAACTCAGAGTATTTTGCTAATCCACTAAGAACGAGAATGCAATAAAGCTTATATATTCTGATCCTCTGGCAACAATGATTCCTTGCATTCAGTGATGAGGATGTGAAATCACTGAAGCAAGTGCTTGGAATCGTGAAGGATATTGCACTTTTTCCATTTCCCCTTGATTAGGCGCAATTAAATAGAGTCTGCAACTTTCATGTAATTAAGTTGTTTTCATTGCCTCCGACGAATGAGCTCAGCTTTTTTTTTAGATTTTTAGAAACAAAAGTGTTGTTCTATAGCTTCTTGACATTCTCTCAAACTAACAGCAAATCATTGTTATCATGTCAGCAGATGTAATTTTTTATTTTAAGCGGTGTTATTTATGAGCCAATCTGTAGCCATTAAATTGAAATTGTTGACACAAATTGGAATGAATTTATTGTTTTACACAAACAAGTATATCTAGGATGTCGAGCACGACCAGATACTGTTTCTGTTAGTGTTTTATTTTTTCTTCTTAACATATACTCATGTTTGGGTAAATAATTATATTGTAGAAATTTATTGAACTTTAGGATATTCTTATTAAATATGTCCGATTTGAATAGCAGTATGTACAAACTATATTTGGGAATCTTTATTCCCTGTTACTATTACAGCTTATGTGGTGCAGCCTAAAATGACAAGTTCTTTTAAATGTCATTATGTAATCATTCTTTTTTACCGTTTAAAACGAAATATGTCTTCTCTGTGTGTACTCAAAATGTTTATCTTACAAACAAAAATAGAATGTTTAGCAATTCACCGGTATCCTTTTTTAATATCAATTCATATATAAATATATATATTCAGCTCAGTATATCTTCAATATAAAAAAAGCCGTTCACTGTTTGGATATTTTAAATGATTCGATATCTAACTGTCGGCAACTACCTTGTTAAATGTTCTTATATAAATTAAATGATATTGGGTGAGTTAAATTTGAAGCCTATGTGAGACTTGCGCCGGGGGCCTTGGACTATTTTTATGCAGCTCCACGAATTGAGCTTCCCAGCAGCTTGCTTATTTCTCCCCTTTCTGTGAAAAACACACACTTTTATTCCATGCCTTACCCGTATTATTTACTTAGTTGAAATTTATTCGCAAGTGATTAGCATAAAAGAACATAAAAATATAACAAATGGAATGAGTTAACGTGGTGATATTTAAAGATTAACAACATTTTGAAAACTTACAATGTCGTTTATAAAAAGTTGGTGTGCAAAAAGAAAATAAAATAATGTATAAAATTAAATGGTGACTTTTCTTTATCAAAGCAATATTTACTGTGAACAAATTAAACAATATTAATGAAAAGACAAAAATGACTGTGTGAAGTGATTATTTCTGATATTCAATTTACAATTAAATTTTGAAGTTTAACATAAATGAAATTTAAAATGGATATTAGATTTATACAGATTGCCTTGGAAATTTTAATAGAAACGTAAATTTATAATGGGTTCATTTAAAATGATTAAGATATTTTTATTAGTGAAGACAATTAATATAAACGATTTAAAATTTTAAATTCTGACTTGCACAAACAACATTGAATGTGAAATAATGTTTCATAAAAGTGGCAAAAAGTAACAATGGTATTTTGTATTTTAAAGATTACATACATTTAAATGCAACCATTCTACAATTTACAAGAGTATCAACGGAAGTTTGAATATTTTGATTCTTTTTTTTTAATTTTTCAGTACAATTTTATCGTTATCAGGTCGAAAAAAAATATTTTATATTTAGTCTGTTAGTTACTTCTATATAGATATGTGAAACCTTGAATAATGTCTTTACGTTCGTTTGTAAGTACATTTACTTTCGACATTGTTTCGTTTCATGATATATTATGACTTAACATTTTTGAAAATTTAGCATTTATAGAAGATTATACTTTTTGTTATTGAAACATTGTTTATATTTTTTGTGTGATGCTACCAGTGAAGGGGACAACTATATAGTCAGACGAAATCAGGAGAAATTTATTTCCGCTTGTTTGTTTCATCCCTGGTTTTTGTGTGGATGTTAAAAATATATTTAAAATATTGTGCCTAGAATTTCTAGTGTAATTTTCAATAGACTAAGTCTGCCTCTTGAATCATGTTTCTGTTTCACCACATAATATGTTTCACTACACAGTATGTTTATCTAAACATTTACTGAAAAAAATTTCATCGAATCGAAAGTTGGATGTAACATAAAGAAAATAGCTTTTCTATTATTTGTTGGGAAATATTGAGAATTTGTCACAAATGTAACACACATGTTACACAATTCAGATCTGTATCTCTCTATTCCATATATAAAACAACAGATTTGCTTTTGAAACAATACACTATAAAAGTCGATATCGCATGTTTTTATTCTAGGTAAATCTTAATTTAGAAATATTGTTACGTAAACGATTTCATTGTTTCACAATCCGAATTTAAATATTGAAATGTAAGAGAAGAGTTTCTTGTGCTTTTTGTTTTGTACTTTAAAAGTGAATTCAACATTTAAAACTATTTTCAACCAACCTGCGTATGAAAAATATAATTATGATATTGGTATTAAGAAATAATTATCTCTCGTATGAGTGTCTCTTAATTCTTAATGAAAGATTTAGTTATACATAGTTATATTAGGAGCATATGAATTTAAGTCTAGTTATTTTTCGAGAGTTGTAGCTTAGTTTAAAACATATTTTGTTTGCTAGGCTGTTATAAAAACACTTTTCTTCAAACTCACAAGTTTTAATACTTATAGTTGTATTTTGTAGTTAAAGCTTATTATTATAGCTTCCTACACAATCAAACTAAAATAAATTGTGTATAAACCAAAATTTACGCAAGTAAGACAAATATAAGAAACAAATAAAAAAAATAAAAAAACAGCTGATCGTCTTCTTGGCTAAATTTACAACAGGGAATTATTCCGATTTAGTATCATAGAAATACATATTAAGATAGAATAACTTACAATCATAGTTATTCAGATATTATAACAACAAACCCTTTAAAAACGCACTTCCTTGATGTATTAAAATACACGAGGATGATTCTACAGATGTTTTATGTCTCAAGAAAAGCTGGAACAGATGAAATATATCTAAAGTATGAAGAAAAGCATAATAACATTTGCATGTTATTTTTAACATACACGTAATAATAATTTGCATATCATCGCTGCAGAATTATATTTTCAGAAAAGATTCATGATTTTTTTTTTTGTTGTTTTTTGCATTAACAAAACCATCAATACAAATAATGCTTAAAATCAAGCAAATCAAAAATATTCAAAGTGGTTAAAGCTGCTGTATCATCAGAAAGCATCGTGCATTTTTAGATATACAATCAATGTTTTAATGAGGTAATGTCTATATAAGTCAGTAGCTGTTATCGGGCAGTGTATTTGATTTGTCTACAGAGATTTTGTTTAAGCTACACGACAGTATTTTAAAATGGGAATCTGGTTTAATTGGATTTGTGTAAGTTACTATTATTACTATTTTTTTACAATTCATTTACATTGTCCAGATGTAGTTTTGGTATTATGTTAAGGAACTTTTTTTCCAAATTTCTTTTATGAAAAATAAATAAAAGCCAAGAAAAAAGCATTTCCTATTTTTATAATAAAAGCTAGTTTAAATTAAAATAAGTCATTTTCAACATCTCATAACACAATGTATGTAAATTTATAAATGCTTCCTTATAGGTATATTAAAAGCAATGAAACTGTAAATGTTGCCTACCAAAAGTCTTCGAAGTATAACATATTGTTCTAAAAAAAAAGGTTTTTTTGGTTAATTAATTTAAAGTCATATTTATCATTGATAGATAACTGGCACTTGTATACAAGAGTTTTAATCAATAAAAAATTGGATTTAGATCCATAACCTCGCTTTGCATTTTGCCGAAATTTCAAAAACCATCGCATATTCAGATATATTTTTATTATACTTTTTTTTTTTGTAAAATTATTTACAGTTTTGTATTCTTTTAGAACTTTAAAGATATAATATGCTTATCTTTGAGTATAATATTTGCAGAAATGTATTGAAATCTATTAGAATCTTACTGAAGATGTCTTATTTTAATAAAAGAACGTACAAAGTGTATAAGGGAATCTGCATTCCTTATAACCTGTCAAGTAATGACATTGTATATCCATGGTGTGTCCACTTAGAGTGCATGATATATCTACTTTGTGTGAAATCAAAACATGTTTATTTTATATTTGCAAAGATTATCAATATTTTCAAATATCAGATTTGAGCGTAGTACTAGTATATCTTTAAAACTTTTTACTTTAAGCATCAAACACTTATTGCTATTAATACTTTAAAATCAAAGACACAGAATCAAGAATGATAACCTTGTTCCAGCCTAACCGATGTCTGTGTTTAATGCATCTTATAAGACAAGAGTTGTAAAATATAAATCATTGCACCTTGCTGCAGATTTAGTGTTTTTTCTTATGTGTTGTAATGAATTATCTTTTTTGATGTCTTAAATTACAATCATTATTATTTATAACATAATGTTCACAAGCATGATTTATAGGATCAAGAGCAGGATGACCGTCAGTATTATCATAATCATCATCACCTTCAGTGTAACTCTGCTCACCAAAACCATCATAACAACATAACTAGCTTTCTTCTCAATCCTTTTTGCATTTGATTTTAATTATATTGTGAATGTATAGTTGATTGAAATAAAATTTTGTTTTAACCAACAACATAACTTATTGAAGTATTCAGAGTTGAACCCTGATAAAATGGAGAAGAAGCATGACAAATATCATCATCATCATCATCATCATCATCATCATCATAGCAATATGCAATATGCAGTACCTCTTGTTATTAATGCCATCATCAACAATGTAATAATTTCAATTAAAAAGACAAAAACCTCCGTATTGAGACGCATAATAACCACCATTACCATCATCAGAATTATCTTTTTTTATCTCATTCTTATCATCATCATAATCATTACCATGACAATAACTAACATAATCATTATTAGGATAATCATCATTATCCTAATAATGATAAATTCATATCAAGATGACCTTTTTCAATTTTATAGGTCGCCCTGATAATTGCAAGTATAACACAACTTTCCGAAGCAGCATGTGGTGAACTGACGTCTTGTACATCGCATGCAAATGTTTGTGTTCTTAGTACTTAATATTAGTTTATATGTCAAAATAAGATCGTTTACACTATGATCAACATGCATAATTTCAAACAATTTGCAACTTTAAGAATCATGTGTAAATAACTGATGATTTAAAGGCTTTGATATTAAATATTGCACCTTTATATACAACATATGTGCCATAGCATATGTAAATTTGTAAATGAAATTTACATAACTCAATGATATCCAAGACAACTTTATTTTCAAATGATATATCGACAAGTAATTTATAAAAGAAAAATAGATCTTCTCTTAAAGTTTTAAAAGTTTTAAATAATAGTTTTAGGTTTTTCTATGCAATACACAACTTGTAAACAGTGTCTTTTTATGGTTTCAGTGTGTTGCAGGCAAAGCGTGTATTGGAGAAGAAGGTCACAAGTATTGCCGGGAATGTAAGCTTAGAGCATATGCATTTTGTCGGCCGTTCTGTTCTATGCATGAAATATGTTAAATTACTTGTTTAAATATAACAGAGGCCATCTTTTAACTTAACAATTCCTAAAAGATTAAAAAGTAATCCGAATATTATATGAGACTTAAAATATATACAATGGCAATGAATTTAAAGAAACATTATTATTACACTTTTTTTTCTTCAATGTATTTTTTACAACTGATATACTTGCTCTTTTTTTGTTGCTGTTGTTTAAAGGTCTCTGTAACCTTAAGAGTCAATGCATTTTAACGGGAAATTCTGTTAATTGCAACTGTGATGGATCTTCATTAAAGGGACCACGATGCGATTGTGAAACGTCGACGCTGACTAACGGTATTTACTTAATGGCATTTGCTACAAATACTTATTTACTCTCTGTGCCTACATCCGGAAGGCGTAAAAATTTGCTTTAACTTATTCGGGCCCATTTCCCTGATATTTTGTCTTATTTTTATATATCTGAGCTTATAGTAACAATACGACATTCATATAATGTTCATTTCACACTAAACAAAATGATATTAATACCACATGAAAAATATATATAAATGTAAATTGTAAATAAATATATTTTTGTTAACAAGTCGAAATAATTTTTCCACCTTTTACTTTACAGATTGCACCGAGTATTCCAGTGAATTATTTACAATAACACATCACAAAATCAACAGCCTTCAATCTGTCAATGAAACAACGACTGTCAATGATTATAGGTATTGCAAAAAAGAGTGCATAAATAGTGAAAATTGTTTCGCTACTTATCAAACTTACGACACTAGCTTGTGGACGGTAGTTTGTAATATGTATTTCGATCCTACAGATAAAAATCTATTGATTAACAATATTGTCCCTACAACATCAGGCAATGACCATCTCAGTTTCCGAAAATGTTTATAAATCATTGCCAAAATGCGTTTTGGTGTTAAATTGAATGAAATACTAGAACAGGAACATGTCCCAAATGCATTATAAAATAATAATATGAATAAATGTATAAAAAGATTATCGGTGTTCAATTATTTTGTTTCCAACAATTCGCAATACATAATATAAATATGATATATTAAACGCGTAAATATTTCTTTAAATCCTTAATTCTAAATATGTGCATGTATTCGAAATATATGCAATATGATAACCTTTGACTCGTTTTCACGTGCAGTTTATGTGAATTAATTTTCCCAAGACCAATACGGTTTTTTTGCTCTGCAAAGTCTTTTGCTGAAATATGATTTGAGTACAATGCAATTTAAAAAAAACACAATTAATTTATATCATATCAGTGTTCATGAACACTATACATATGAATGTTATATGTTACTTGCAAGAAATGACTGAATGTATAATTATAATTCTACCGTGATACAAACAAAATCAAAACTATTTTACCTGTATTGGTATATACACGGTAACTTATCTACTTAAAACATTCGTATCACTTGGTCTTTGAAATATTTTAACTTTCAAAAAACTATATCTTTTTTATATAAAATATATAATTCATGAGAATTCACATAAAATTAAATACAACTGCTTGCAAAATAAGAGAAGAATGAAAATTAAATTAAGTCAGTGTATGCAAAACGAAAGGGATTAATGAATTAGTTTCTGAGCAATTTGACTATACAATGTACTTTCAAACCGACTTCATTCATGCTGAGAACTTTATATTAACTAATAATCGTTTTTGAATATTTTTAATAGGCTTGCTATATTTGTCATGTGCATGTTGTCATTTTCATATGATTCACTTTATATGAAGGTGGTTATTTATTTAAAACATCTAAGAAATATGTTTTATTAACAGAAGACAGATTGAGTCTCATGAAAAACACAGTTTATAATGACTGTAAAATAATTTTGTTGGCAAGTTTGTGTTTTAGACATATGTTATATTGAGTTGATTTCATTTGTTATATTTATTATCGTAACTCAAACAACTGATTAAAAAGTTCCAATGAAATAGAAAAGAACTATCATTAATTAGGAACATATCTCTCTTCTTTGAATAGATACATTGCTACATTTTTCTTATGATGGTACATATAATTTTCTGACTTTAATTACAAATAGTATTAGAGTTGCAACACATATTTAAGGTAGACCATGGGTAATGGGCACCAGAACTGTTAAATTGACAACATAGGACAGTTATATGTCTTCAAGGTCACCTGTATGCAAAATTTAAATAAAATTTACCGTGTGGTTTATGAGTTATTGATATATTTCTGAACTAAGACCTTGCCATTTGAAGGGCTTATTTTCAGAAATGAGGAACTGTTAATAATCTGTAATATCATTATTATAAAAAATGTTTTTCTATTTCTCATTGTTAAGAAACAATTAATAACATTCAGGTAACACATTACACAACCAAAATGTTTGGTTCAAAACAAAATGTTCTTAATATGTATAAAAATGTTACCCTACCCCACCCACTTTTAACACTAATTTTACCATTTGCATATCTAAAATGCCTTATTCAAAATACCCCTAAAATTTATCGAAATGATGGTCTGTTTTCAAACTTTGCCTAATTTTTTTCAAAGGTATATTAGTTGATCTGCAAAATATAAAATACTTTTACCGTGTAGTTTTTATTTTATCGAACTTTGAAAATATCTGGTATCATATTTGCTATAAATGTTGGCATTATTTAACAAAAAAATACCTAAAATAATTATATAATTAAAATTAAACTTTTTTTTCTCCCGTAAGGGATCAGAGTGTTACATAAATAATGTTAAAAAGAAAAAAAAGACAGAAAAAAAGTTGACCCTTCTGGGGTTTGAACCCACGCCCCTCAATTTCAATGTAGTTTAAAGGGATAGCCTATTTGAATACTCTTCAAAGTGGAGGTAATGCATTACCCATGGTCTACCTTAATGTAAACTGGTTAAAAACTGAACAAAAATGTTTAAGTATTGCCTAACATTCTTAAGGATAGGTCAAAGTATCTTTTAATCTAATACAAGCATTTCTGCTAGTTATTACTGACTGATTAAAATACTCGTGGTTATATATTACTTTTGCAAATGAATGGAATCTAGGCATTTTCCAATCATACAGACTCAATAACGTATCTTGCAAACTTGATTTATTTCCATCGTTTATTCTGATTTATCATATATATTATGTTCAGATTTGGATTATCTAGCTCAAGATGTTACACGATGTTTGCTGTCATAACATAACACATAGATAGATATTCCTTTTTAATAAGTTATTGAAGAATTTGTAAAAGTAATGCATGTTCAATGAATATACTGAAAAAAAACATATCTAACGAGTCTTTTTTAAGTTTACCTGAATCAATACAAAATTTACCTAGAATAAAAAAAAATTCAGTTCTCTTTAACATATAGTGATCCATCGGTAGCATTAATCACAACAAAATTACAAGAAAATTGCAGAATCAGTTTGAATGCATCTGTACATCATGAGAGTTAATGATAAGGTACAACATTTCTCACGCCCCCTAGCACCGACTTGAGCGGAACACAATTTTCAACACTTAAAAAAGCTGGAACCAATGATCCCGAAGGACCAGAAAAATACAACAACACTGAAGTAAATTATTTTCTTCTGGAATGTCATGATTTTTCACAGACCCGTAACAGATTTTATAATGTAAACTCACTCAAAGAACTCTTTAATACAATTCCATCAAAAAACATTATCAATTATTTGAAAGAGATAAAAACTTGTTTTCAAGGATCTGATTGGCTCTTTTTATTTTCATTTACAAAGTGTTACATAATATTTTAAGCCTATTATAGCATTCGGCACGATATTGCCATTTATGTGTTGACGTGCCGTAAAATCCAAACAAACAAACGAGCTGCCTAACGGCACTTGGCACTTGCTGTTGTGTTGCACAAAGATCTGCAGAACGAGCGTTCTCTCGGAATCATCAATCACAACAAACTAACAAGAAAATTTGAAGACTCGTCGCTTCTTTGCAAGATGATATGATAATTTTGTTGATATTTATTACGGAATCTTAAGGAAAGAATGTTTGAAAATGTTGTACCAATTTCATTGAAAAGAAAACTTATTAGGAAGACGTATATTATTTTTCAAGAACATGGCGTTACTTTGATTAATATTTGAAATACTTTGTCATTTCCTACATGTATGCATGTATATTTCTTAATTCTCTAAAGAAATTCTCAATTTAAGTCGATTCCAAGAATGAAATATAGAAACATTCTTGGAACGATTCAAAATACTGTTTGAGCCACTCTATGTTCTTACGATGTTTGTTTTGTGTATTGCTACATGCTCATTGTCAAAGATCTTGATGTAGGAATGACAAGCATAATGAGTTACGGCGTGGTTAAAGTGACATTATGCCCATCCAAGGGTATATAGTGAATTAACGGGTGAAGATCAAAATAAGTTTTCATTTTGTCATAATTTCTTTTAATTCAATGATTAAGTTCGCATAAACAATAAATAACATACAGATCCAATCGATTTTTTGCACATATCCATTAGAATTTACTTATACGCTTTGTTTATAAACAGAGTGGGGTACTCTTTTTAAATTTAAGGCAGATATATAATTTTATCCTAAGCATTTTCCAATATCAACTGTTGATCATACACCATTTTGACAGTCAATTTTTTGAAATATATAGTCAATTCAGCTCAATTTTGCTATGAAAATATGAGCCTAATGTCACTTTAACGCGTCGGACTAGTTATCTAAGATGTGACCGCGTGTGATCAAACCCTGCCGGTCGTTTTTTCATGAGCAAAAAATTTTTACTCATTGCTTAGAACGTTGGTTCCAGGAACGGATTTGACAGTGTTTCAATAAGTTTACAGCTTCCAATAATCGAACTAAAATAGATAGAAGTAAACATCTGTCATCTTAAACTACGTATTTTGGTTTTTTTTTCTATTCAAATCCCCTTTGGAATCGTCTTTTCTAACTGTTTTAAATGATTCTCCATAATGAAAAAAAAACCAACAAGTTTTCCCTTATTGAAGAGTTCTTAGAGAAACTATGCATGCATTTACCAATCCATTTAATAATGCCAGTAGATAATGTGTAGCAGAAGAAGAAGATCATTTTATTGACTTAAACTACATAGTTTCTCGTCATATACATATACACAAACATAATGTACATAAATCATTATATAAATAATCAAGTTCATAACTGCTAAATAATGAACAAGTCAATTTAAGCATTCGAGTGAGAGTGGTCCATTCGGTCCATTACATATATACATGAAGGTGTAAAATTGCAGTGAATATATCCGTAATTGGGTCAGAATACCTGTAAGCTATTTCCGTAGTAAACATTACCATATAAGGAAAACCGAAAGTAAACAATCATTTGCCCATTCATAAACTTTATCGACGTCATTGTTATTTACTAATATCAACCAATCATTACCGTCCCCATGCCAAATATGGAGACCGGAAATAATAAACCGTCACGCCTTTTTGCGACCACGCTTCATGACTGGAAAAAGATTTCCGATGTTTTTCAACATATTTGACAGCATTACTGCATACATATTTGAGTAGGTAAGTTAAAAATATGACAGTATGTTACATAAATGTACAGAGCAGATGTTCCAAACAAATATATGCAGCGACATTTGCCCGTAATAACATGATATTAGATAATTTTCAACTGATGTACTGTATAGTACACATGTACAAGTTTATATATACATGATGTAAACACTGTTCCAAAATTATGTAAAAAGCCCATAGGTTTTGACTTTGTTTTTTTAGCAAATGTCACTGCATGAAATAACTTATAATACATCTGTATGATATACATCTTTGTACATAATTCTAAAACATTTATCGAAGCCTGTATCATACATTTTTTAAGTAAAAAAAACAGAGAGGAAAAAAAACGTAAATTTTACAATGTCATGAACAGATACCAAATATAGACATAAATTTAGTTAATTTTAACATTAATAAATTATCTATTATTGCAATAGTAGCAGTAGCAGATCTGATGAAAAATCT